TTTTGTCGTTTGACTCCATTTGTAGCTGTCTGTCAAAGTTTTTACTGGTGTACAGGTAGCCTCATTTTAGATATCAACCACTATCATTATATACAAACAATGGAAAAAGTTTTGTTTTTTTTTTTTAAAGATTTTATTTATTTATTTGACAGACAGATCACAAGTAGGCAGAGAGGCAGGCAGAGAGAGAGAGAGGGAGAAGCAGGCTTCCTTCTGACAGAGAGCCCGATGCGGGGCTCGATCCCAGGACCCTGGTATCATGACCTGAGCCGAAGGCAGAGGCTTTAACCCACTGAGCCACCCAGGCGCCCCCTGGAAAAAGTTTTAATAAATATTGACTATATAAACAATTTTCTGTTGAATTATGTGGACTATTACCATCAGGGAGAAATATTATAGTAAGTCAAAACTGTAAGCTCTGTATAGTACAGTATTCCTATACCAAAAGATATAGATATTTGCTAACTTTTCATCTTTATGAGATTGAAGCTACTTTCTGATTTCAACTTCCAGGTAGTGCAAAGAATTCTCTTACTTACATTTACTCATCACATTCAAGACTCTCCAGATCACTATCAAAGTACCAGAGACCCAAGAAACGTAAGAGCCAGAGTCACAACTGAATTTATTATCCTAATTTTGCTGCTATCCCAATAGATACTTTTATTCAAATAATTATAATACACAATAGCAAATACTCAATAGCAAATACTCATTGTAGTAAACACTTTGCAACTATTTGCCTAACCCGTTTAATTGAATGCAAACAGTTGGATATCTTAAATTAACACTGGCTATTTTCCTTAAACCTTTAAAATAAGACTGCTTGAGTTTGTTTTGTTTGGACAAGAAGTCTATGTACCTGTTTATCTACTTTGCCCTTCTCACGTCAGGGGGATAAAAGAGAGAAAATGGACTCTTCCTTAGAGCAAATGGAATTCACCCTTCCTCTTTTTACTACTTTTGCTAAAACATTACTAATTAGGAGAAAAGAGAAAGTTAACAGTTGGGAAATCCTTTAGAGCTTTTGAATGAATAGGGAAAAGCAGAAAGAACTTTCGTTCAGAAATAGAGTAGGATCATGGAACTCTACCTCTGAAACTAGTAATACACTATATCTTAATTGAATTTAAATAAAAAAAAATTGAACTTGTAAAAAAAGGTATCAGCAATCGTACTGTGTACTCGAATGAAATAAATGTTAATTAAATTAACAGCAACAAAAGAGATAAAGCAGGACTTCTATAAGCTCTTCTTCAAGATTCCTCCCTCAGGGTGGCAGGAGGGTTTCCCTCAATGCAAAGCAATTCTTGAACACTAGCTGGGGGTCCGCTAGTTCATCTCAATTCTGACACCATCTATCAGGAGATAGATAGAGCATCAGATTCTACAGGCTAAGGGCTCAGTCCTACAAGACTTCCCTCTACCTCCATCCTCAAAGTTTGTAAACCACAAGTTGTTACCTATGCTTTTGACCAATAGGCTACAGATTGGACATTCCAATATCCTCTTCCTCAGATTTGATTAATTTGCTAGAGCAGCTCACAGAACTTAGGGAAACACTTAGCTTTGCCAGTTTATTAAAGGACATCGTACAATATGAATCCACAGCCAGATGAAGGAACATGTGTGGCAAAGTATGGAGAAAGGGTGTGGAGCTTCCATGCCCTCTCCAAGTATACCATTCTCCCGGGACTTCTGTGTGAGTTCATCAGCATGGAAGCTCCCCAAACCTCTGCCTTTTGTTCTTTTTTTTTTTTTTTTTAATGAAGGCTTCCTTACACAGTCATGATTGACTAGGTCCAGCATATCTCCCCTCTCTGGGAGTGGAGCTAGGGCTGAAAGTTTCACCCCTGTAATCACATTGTGGGTGCTCCCAGTGACGAGTTTCTGCCTTTGAGTGGGGTCCAAAAGTCAGCTCAGAAACCTAGCAAAAGTCAGCTTTATGCTCTTATCACAGGAAATTCCAGTGGTTTGGGGAGCTGTGGACAGAGACCAAATATATATGAAAACTAGGTTTTCATCATCTGAGGGACTAAATATATAGGAAAACTATATTTTTCTCATCTCAGTGATCAAATATATATATACATGCATACATGTATATATGTATTTACAGATCACCATATCTTAGTGGTTCTTTTTACATTCTTGTCTTTGGATAAGAACACAAGAGTTTTATAGTTCTAGAATTTGCCATCTGTCTTACCAAATGGTGTTAAGGTAGGGAAGAGCAGTATTTAAACACACAATGTACTGTCAAAATATAATATAGAAAAACCTATTTAAGTGTCTTAATATATTTTTGTTCTCAGGTCATAAATATTCATAGAGATCAATTGTTGTTCATCCTAATAGTCCCATACTTTACCATTTTCTAAGAGGGACAGAAGACTCTGGAAACCTTTACTTTAAAATGCTTTTTAAAATTTGTATTTTTTAAACTAACGCAATAAAGTTCTTTTTGGTGTACAGTTCTGAGAATTATAACAAATGGGCAGTGTCCTTAATTACTACCATCAAGATATAGAAGAGTCTTATTACCCCAATTTATTTCCTCATGCTGCCCCTAATTCCTGGCAACAAATGATCTACTGTGTCTGTGTAGTTTTACCTTGTCCATAATGTTGTATAAATGGAATCATCTAGTATAAGGTTTTTTGATTCTGGCTTCCCTTACTTACTTACTTACTTCCCTTACTTAGTATACTTCAGGTTTATTTATGCTGTTGTGTCAATTTGTTTCTTTTTATTTTCTATTTTCATTCATCAGTTGAAAGATAATAGGGTTGTTTCCAGTTTTGACTAATTATGAAGAAAATTGCTGTAAACTTTTTGTGTTGTAAATGGGGCAGTAAGTTCCCCTCCTGGATGCTTTAAGGAGCATTCCAACATGGTCACATAAATTAAACTCAGACATATGAAATTCAAGGTCTTATTATACTCCTAGGTCCTATTAGATGGAAACAGAGGGCCATACAGAAGGAGCTTCTAGGAGATGGGTTCAGCCAAGCAAGTGGGGAGCTGAGAGAGTTAAGGACTTGGTGGACAAATGCCTTTATTGGGTGGTCGGGGTGAAGTTTCCAGCAAAGGTGTGAGGGAATTCATTGGTGCTGTTGAATGCCACGAGGTCATAGCCAGGGGAGGGTAAGAAGGGGATCTTGTAGCAGCAAGGACCAGCTTTATCATCTTGGTATACCTGGGTGCCTGGGTGGAGTGCTCACAGCCTTTTTTGAGGGATATTGAAGCATCAGGAAAATGTGAAGTTCTAAAAATTTATGATACATTTCTGCATGCAGGTTTTGATGTGACCACGGTTTTAAATTCTCTTGGGTAAATACCTGGAAGTGTGATCACTATGTCATAAAGTTATACATTTTTAACTTGATAGGAAGTTGGCAGACTTGTCTAAAGCGAAGGTAGCACTTAATTTTCACTAGAACTGTATGAGTATTCCAGTTGCTCAGCATTCTCACTAACATTTTGTTGTTGTTTCAGTTTCATCTTTCTTGTAGATGTATAGTCCTGTCTTGTTTTAATTTTCATTTATTTAATGACTAGCGATATTCAACTTCTTTCCACATACTTATTTGCCATCTTGTAGTTCTTTGATGGAAGTATCTTTTCAAGTATTTTATGCTTTTTTTTTTTTTTTTTGGTTCTTATATTCTACATCTTTGTCAGATGTGATTTGCAAATATTTTCTCCCACTTTCATGGCTTATCTTTTCATTCTCTTGACAGTGTCTTACACAGAACAGAACTTTTGGTTTTGGATGAAATTTATCTTTTTTTTCTTTTATGAATCATGATTTTAGTGTATTTAAAAATACTTTACCTAACTCAAGATCACAAAGAATTTCTGCCCTATTTTTCTGGAAGTTTCATAGAAATTTTAGTTTATGATGCATTTTGAGTTGTTTTGTATATGGTATGAGGGGTGGGTTGAAGTTTGTTTTTTTATGCATTTATCGATTTATTCTCACCTATTTTTTTGAAAAGCTTATTTTTTTTCCTATTACCTCTGTGCTTCTGTTAAAATTCAATTTTCCTTACTTATGTGGGTCAATGTCTAGACTATTCTTTTATACTGAACTGTGTATCCTTTTGACAATGACACTTTGTAGTGTCATTATTGTAGCTTTACAGTAAGTTTTTAAATTAATCATTTATGCTATAAATATTCTTCTAAGCATTGATTTGGCTATATCATACTAATTTTAGTATGTCATATTTTCATTTAGTTCAAAATAGTTTTTAATTGAGATTTCTCTTTGTCTCGTGTTATTTTAAATTAGTACGTGTTCTCTAACTTTTTTCTCTTGCAGAGTTGTTTTGGCTATTCCAGTGTTTTTCTCTTTCTATATAAACTTGAATTTTCTTGTCAATATCTTAAAAAAAAAGTTACCTGGGATTTGTTAGGATTTTATTAAGTGTTGTGTTATTTTGAAGATTTTCAGTTTAATTCTGTTATTAAAGGACATACTTTTTCTAGGTTCTTAATTCTTCAAATTTGTTAAGATTTGTTTTAAGGTCTATGCTTTTTATGATCTCTCGTAGGCCCTTTATCCTTCTCCCTATATTAGAGTTGTCACACACATATAATGTATATCCTATACATACATTAACAGCCCCAGTAGGAAATATTCATTTTGTTTTCTTCAAAAAATGCATATTTTAAAGAACTTAAGAAGAATATTGTCCAACTGTTTAGCATTTGTTACTTTTCATGCATGTATCAAGTTCTAAATTTCTTGCTAACATTTCATGAACATAGTTACGATGGATGCTTTTAAAGTATTGGACTGATGATTTCAACATCTAGGTCATCGTGGGATTTTAATTACTTGATTGTCTTTTCCAATGAGAATTGATCAAATTGTGTTGTATTTATATGCTGATATATAAATATTATATGTAATATTATATATTATATAATTATATAATATATAAATATTATAATATTTTGAATTTTACATCATATGTTCCTTTGTCCTCCAGATAATGTTGATTTCTACCTCCTCACCCCAACCATCTTAAATTTTGAGGTAATCAACCTACAACCTGGGTAAGTTAAGACCATTCATTTTATTTCCCTTTCTGTGGGTGGGATTTCTAATATCAATTCGTTTTTCAAAACCTTTACTATGTTGCTTTGGCTAAATTCTGTGCGTGCCACTCAGGGCTTATTTTAGCAAGTAGATCATGTTTTGCATTATTCAGCTCTTATAACCTTTGTAGTGAATTGGGTTTGTATTGTGCATATAGCATATGCATGCAGGGGTGAGCCTAGAACATGTGGTGGATCATGGAATTCCCATCTCCATCTCTCTACTTGACAGGACCCCCCCCCCCGCCCCCAACACACACACTTTTTGGCTTCTAGGATCCATTGTGCCTTGTTCTCTTTCTAGAAAGACAGGAATTCTCTTTTAGATTTTTGCTGTCTATGCCCACTGAATAGTTCCATAACGGGGGTCATCTTCATCAAAGCCAGGAGAGAAAAGATGATATATTAAGTTTGTAGAGCTGCCATAACAGATTGCCATAAAGTGAGTAATTTAAGCAATAGAAATTTGTCTCATTGCTCTGAAGGCTAGAACTTTGAGATCAAGGTGTTGTCAGGGCCATATTCCCTTTGGCACTAGGGAGGGATCTGTTCCAGGGATCTGTTCCAGGCCTCTCTCCTAGCCTCTGGTAGCTTCTTTGTTGTGGCAGTAAGATTGTGATCTTCACATGGCATTCTTCCTGTGTGCATGTCTCTGTGATCAATTTTTCTCCTTTTATAAGGATATCAGTCCTATTGGATTAGGGACCACCCTAATGACCTCATTTTAACTTGATCATCACTGAAAGAACACTATATCCAAATAAGGTCACATTTAAATACTAGGGGTTAGGACCCCAACATAAATTTTGGAGGGACATGATTCAATCTGTAATAGATGAAGGGGGGGTGAGGGGTGGTACTCTAGGAAACTACTGTACTGGCCACTTCAAGTTTTGACTGTCCTTTTCAGTCTACTTACTACTTTTCAGAGTTTTTAGGTAATTGCCTTTTTGTATTTTGTTCAGATATTTTTACTGTAGTTGGTTTACTTCCAACTGGTGATTGTAACTTTTAAAAATAAAGATCTTTTAGTTTTAGGGTTGTACAAGTACTTCTTAGTTTCAAGGAGCTGTTAACAACCAAAATGAGAACCACAGTTGAAATGATGGCAGGTTAAAAGTCTATTTGGATGAGAACTTGGGGTCCAATATGATGATAGTAGTTTGGAGTTGAGGTGAAATATATTCCAGTCTCTGAATCATTATGATTCAGAGCAACTCAGCCTCATACTCCAGTTCTCTTTCAGTCGTGCTACTCTTGATTGATTTCTGGGGTAAGATATTGGCAGTATGGGTAGGACTAGAAAAATAAGTTGTATATTATTTCAGTGGTTGCTATTTATGGTAAAGGTCCCTTCAATTTATCATATACTCATTTATGGCTTTCTGGGGTTACAAGGGTATATTAGAAATAGTTCCTGAGATTAAGGAGTCACAGTCTAGGAAGCAAGGGAGAAATGTGGGTAAATAATTGTTGTATCGATATGCTAAGTGCTCTGAGGTAACTCACAAGGTAGGGATGGGGTGGGAGGGTTAGGCCAAGAATAGGAATAGGCCAAGAATAAAGAAAATTATTTTACTATGGGGATAGGGTTAAAATAGGGATTTGGAGAAGGGCTGGTTTAGGCAAAAACAGCCTTTAAGTGTCAAGGATGCTCTGTTATACATTTCTCAAATATTGATTATCAAGAAGCATTATGTATTGGTGCCCTTAGATGTCTGTTTGGTGGCCAAGACAGAGATGAACAGGAACGTAAGGAAAAAACATATTTCAGACAAAGGACTAAAGCACTTGCTACTATTTTTGAGATGTTCTTCTAAGCATTGATCTAAGAAACAACACACGGGATAGAAATACAGAAAGACCTCAGGAGAACAAACTTTTATCCCCACAAGCACATTTCTATTTCTTTGGTTCATTACATTCAATAATTCAGAATGGTTCATTCACGGTTTGATCTGATAATAATCAGGCCAGGAAGGGGAAGTAATTTGTAAATGCCATCCAAAGTTAGGTTGTGCCCTGAAGTCTTTTATTGGAAATCTTATTTTGTTTTGAAGTTAATTGGAGAACAGTTAATTGGACAAGGCAGTGGAGGAAGGATTAATTTAAGTTTCTATGAAAATTGGCACTCAGGACTTATGTGAACCATGGAGGGCTAAATTAGTAAGGTGTACTCTTGCTAGTTATTATCTAGCACAACCATAGTGATATGTATCAGAAAGTGAGCCTGCCAACAGAACAGTTTGGGCTGTTCTTCTCTAAAAGGCTCTCTTACAGTATTTCAACAACCGCAATTTCAGATAGCACATTCCAAAATTACACTGAATTGATCATGTTGCAATCATAGTCGAAAACAAAAAGGTTGTTCTCTGTAGTATGAGAGCAACCCGCAGCCTCAGAAGGATGGAATAAGTAAATATCGATTTGAGTTGGGGCTCAGAGTCACTATTACCCCATCTGTAGTCCACATGGCTACTAATCTCTAATTTCTTACTTAAAAGGACACTGAAAACGAATCTTAAGTATGGAACAAATTCCAGAGTCCTAGAATTATGACGAGTACCTTATCAGTGCTTCCATTTTTACCTCCCCGAACTCCAGAGCATGCCCTGCATAATCAACAATTCAGAACCTTTTACCAAACCGTAACACAAAATAAACCTGCCTTTTCACACCTCCTTGCCTTTACCTAGTGTCCCTTCAGGGCACGCATTGCATGGAGCACTGGGTGTGGTGCATAAACAATCGATCTTAGAACACTGAAAAAATAAAATTAAATTAAAAAGAAAAGAAAAGAAAAGAAAGAAATGCACTCCCTGACTGTCCCAGCCACCCTGCCTAGAAAATCTATTTGTGCTTTATGACTCTGTTCAAACAAGTATCACTTCCTCTCTAGTGCCTTTTTGGCTTTCCTAGGCAGTTACTTACTTTTTCCCCCCTGTAAACTTATAGCAATTTAGTCATACTTCTATTATAGCCCTAATTAAATTGCATTTCTGTTTACTTAGTTACATTTCTCCCATGTCTTCTTGGCTCTTGGCTCCTTTGTCATCGTTTACTGTTGTAGTAGAAGCTTAGTAAATTTTGATAGGTAAATATTTCAAAAAAGTAATCTTTAAAAAAATTAATAAACTAATATACTATACTTGGAAGGGAAATGTACTATATAGACCTCAGATGTAGTATTACTGTGCTGGATATTTGCCTAACCAGATCTATTATTTACCCTTTTATATCCTGCTATGTGTCCAAGAAAGCTGAACTTTACGGACAGAATTAATGTGGTCCCTTAGTCTCCTGGTTTTGGTTGAGTTTGGCCCAGGGGACCAAGGATAGGTGATCACAGAGTGAAAAAAGAGTGGATCTGGGTATTTATTCCCATAGCTTCCTTTTTGCTGTATCTTATGGGGTTGGCTAGGTCCCTCTACCAAAGGTCACACCTCCACATGATAGCAGTCTACGCTGGGTTCTAGTCTCTGCTCCTTCTCTCTGTCCCTTAGGGCTATGGGTGGTGGTAATGGTCTCATAATGTTGCTTGATTGTCAAAATATAGCCTCTCGTATTTCCTTAGTCTTATCCACACCTTTGTAATTTGTACCTTTGTTAAACTCCCTCTCCCCAATTATCCAGTATGGGTGTGCCAATTAGTATAACCTTTAGGTAAGATTTTTAAAAGGAGTGTTTCATGGAATAATTTTCCTCAGGTTGTTACCGAATATGTGACAAAAGTGTCTATAATTACGAGTTTAGGAAATACTGAGTTCAGTAAGTTTTATTTAGTATTCCCTAAATATTTTACCACTGTAAAGTATACTGTGGCTATCTTGTTATTTAGCATTACCATTAATGCCTCACAAAACTAGGTGTTGTTGTTTTTTTCCCCCAAAGTGAAGTTGCAAAAATGCTGCCTTAAGCTCACCAAAGATAGACTATGGTAAAATGTCAAAATTAGACTCCTTCTTATCATCAGTTTACCTATTTGTTGGGAAGAACATTTATTTTATTCTAGTAAAAATCTAGGACCTTAAATTACTATTTGGATACTGAAGTGGTTATCTGGTTTTGTCTTTAACTCTAAAAAATATCCTGAACTACTCTGTACTATGTAACTCCAAGTACCAGAGAAAATGATCACAAGTAAGAATTATGGGGATGTAAATATAGTCTCTCGTAAGTTATTCCTTTTTGAAAGTAAAATAAATTGAGAACTATAAACTCCTTGTTAGCAGATGTGAACTGAGAGAGACTCTGCTAATTTGTTTTACTGCCAAGCTCATAACTATATATATCAAGACTGACAATATTTGTAAGGGCATTTATTACTTAGATTTTTCTCAGCAGGAATTACAAGCTCACCTTATAGTAAATTACCTCCTCTTGGATTGATAAATATGTATTATAGAATAAATTATTTTATCAAACTTAGCTCGATCATAAATTACAGATTTTGATGAAAATGTCAAAATGTTTGATAAACTAAGTGGCCATTAAGCCATTTAATTTAGAAACTTTAACATAATGAGAAGTAATAGTACATCTTATATTTATCCAGCATTACTTAAATGAACTCCTAGTTGTCTTGCTTCCAAGTCCAAGCTTTCAATTACTTGATAACTATTTTGAAATTGTAATGCTTATATTACAGCACTTCTAATTTTTAACATTAGAGTTATAAAAGGAACACTGTTTTTGCAAGTATATTTTTCAGCTATAGTATAGCTAAAAGATGATGGATATGCATGACAAAGAAACAATCTTTCTAGATTTATATAATTTTCCTGATATAGGAATAATATGATAGAAGCAACAATTAAAAACATAATGGAAGAAAACACCTCTCAGCCAAAAAGTAGTTGAAATAAAACAAACTGTCTTCCATATTGGAAATGCTCATTATATCTTAGGTGAGATTTAAGTGATTGATATCCAGTAATATTATAGCAAAATATTTGAGTTACAAGAATATGAAGATATCTTACAACTGTTAAGAAATCTGTACCAAGAAATGAGAATGAGGTTGTCCTTAGGCTTCATAGTAAAGATGGACAATGGAATTTTATACCCATTTGGGAACTCAGAAAATAAATTACTTAGTACTCTCCTTACAAACATTTTTTGAGGTGCACCAGGGTGGCTCAGTCAGTTAAGAGTCTGTCTTAGGATCAGCTCATGATCCCAGGGGCGCAGATCATGATCTCATGATCTTGGGATTGAGTCCCTCATTGGGCTCCCTGCTTAGCAGGGGGTCTGCTTCTCTGTCTCCCTTTGCCTCCACCCCCTTGCTCATGTTCTGTCTGTCTCTCTCAAGTAAGTAAATAAATAAATAAACAAATAAGTAAAGTCTTTAAAAAAATGCATTTTTTGACTTCAATTTTTCATTCAAGTGAGAAATGTCTCAAAATTATGAATCAGGATGGGAGAGAAGATCTAAGATTTGTGAGTTAAAATGCTGTGTTTGCCATATATTTAGTAATAGCTTTGTGACCCAGATGAGCATTTCAGAAGATAGTTACCACAGAATTTGGTGAATGACTCCACTACTTTTGAGTTGACTAGCAGTACTGACACACTGAATCACAAGGCTTGGATTGTGTCCTTGGAAATGACATACTTAATCCTATAGAAAAAACGGAAAGACTAAGGAGCTGAAATAGCCTGCTGTGTTCTGGTAAATCAAATTGGCAGTAACCTCCAAACTGAGCTGAAATCAGTGCCTCAATTTTATCATAAGATTTATTGGGCATTAGTCTGAATTTGATCTATAGAACATCTAATTTACTTTGGGTGTTAAACTAAGTGTGCCATTTCCTTTCAGATTCTATGTATTACAAAACAGAATCACTTTCAGAGATACAGACTCCACCTCTACAATGTATGGACAGTGTAGCAATTACTGGGGTAGGACATGTGTGTAGATGTGGGGGTCCTCCAGAAAGAACATGTTGTCTTAGACAGAAACATGAACTACTAAGTCTCTAAAAGAAGTAACTTCACTCCTGAGAAAATCAGTTGTGAGTGAAAGGAATGGTAAGTCTCAGATGAAAATAAAACAGGCAGCTGAACCAATTAGAAAAAGTTAAATCACTTAGGTGGAAGCCAACTGAACTTGAAATTGTTTTGGAAGCTGAGATAAAGAAGGACATTTTAACAGAGGCTATAATAGGAGAATGCAGTATGGTTTCACTGCCTTATAAGTACCTCAGGTGGAAACAGTAAACTAATTCATTTTCTTCCCCCATGGCTGCTTTTAGAAAATCTCCCTAAACTAATCCTGCGTTAAAACTTGCTGTAATAACCCTATGCATGATTCAAGGTAAGTGACTGAGAAAGTGAGTGATGTAAATATGTTATTGGTTATAGCTAGATGACGCACATCTAGCAATATTACAAAGAGGCAATAGTGCTCAGTTTTCAGTAGAGCAGAAAAATCATTTGGGGGTGCCGAGTGAATTTGTCTATTTTGAGATTTTGACTCAGAAAGTTTGGAGTAGAGTCATGTTAATTTGTATTTCTAATAAGCACACTAGTTAATTCTTCTATAAAATGTTTTAAAACAGCAGGATGCCATAGTTACTTACAAAATTAGGGCAATTACCTTAAATTTTTAAAAATTAGGATGATTACCTTAAAATGTGGATATGATTCAATTAACCACTTATGTGAATCTCTTAACACAAAACCTAGGACACTGTAAATGTATAATAAAGTCATATTCAAAATGGTGTAATACTTCTGCTATACTTATTAGTAACGTTTCTAGACCTGGATATATAACACAATTATGTAAATGTATTTATTGAAAAGAGACTAGAAGAATAATTACAGTTGACCCTTGGACACAGGTTTGAACCGCACAAGTCCACCTACACATGCCCCCACCCCCCAAACCAAACCAAACCAAACCAAACCAAACCAAAGTAAACCAAACAAGCACCACTTTACAGTTTTCCTTAGGGAATGGGCTCCAGGGTAGTTAAACAAACAAACAAACAAACAAACAAACAAACAAAAGACGGAAACTGCCTAGCAGCTCTAAGCAAATCTAGGCAGAGAAGCCCTGAAGGGGAGCCAGAGGAAGCCCTCAAATGGCTGGTGCAGCTCTAGAGGCTCCTAATTGTGCTTGAGGATATGCCTTTAGAAGAGTTACTTGTTCAGCCCAACATGGGGGTGGTCAGCTAGCCTGGGAAGGTTAGTCAGGTGGTTGCCTTGACAAGTTTTACCTCCTCCCCTAGGAAGTTGTTATCCAGGAAGTCAGAGATGGGGGTCTTCACAGGCAGAACCCAGGGTATGCAAATCAAAAGGGGGGACTAGTTCAGGTTCTTCTCCAGGATCATGGTGGCTTCTGTGGTGTCCAGGTTTTTGTCCCATTCATCTTGGGAAAGCTTCTGTAAGTCCTGGAAGAGAGCATGGCCACAGCATTGTTTTTGCATCTTAGGGAGGCCTGGTACCTTCAGCTTCTCCTTGGCCAGCTCTGGAAGAAGTGGCCTGTTTCCCCAAGAGCCACATCATCACAGCAGAAATAGGAGCCAAAGGGGTAAGTGTAGGAGGCCTGTAGATGCATGCCGTCACCAGGTGCTTGATGGCCTCTACCTAGATGGAATAATTCTAACTAATTTGGGAGCTTATGGTTGATTTGGCAATAAGCTGAAAAAGTGATACTGGCTGGTCCCAGAGGCAGAGAATGGCTTAAAGATGGTTTCCGGGTTGTGACTAGAAAAGAGGTTGGTTGGAGGGTGGTTTGAGGCTGGGGAAGGGGTATCCCTGGGTCTGCTGCATTCACACACAGTTGAAGAAAGAGACAGATCTGGGGTACTGCAAATTATACCACCCACACATGGCTTTTTTTTTTTTTAACTATATATTAATGTATTTTCTTACAATTTTCTGCACGTTGTTTCTCTAGCTTGCTTTATTCTAAGAGTACAATATATAATAAAACAATGTAACATACAAAATATGGGTTAATTGCCTATTATCAGCAAGGCTTCTGGTCTACAGTAGACAGTAGTATTCATTTTTGGGGAGTCAAGTTATATGCAGATTTTTGACTGCACAGAGGTTGGCACCCCTAAGCCCTGGATTTTTCAAGGGTCAACTGTAGTAATGTTAGTAGTTGACATTAGCCTTTTAAAAAATTAAGTTATTTTGGGACACCTGGGTGGCTCAGTGGGTTAAGCCTCTGCCTTCGGCTCAGGTCACGATCTCAGGGTCCTGGGATTGAGTCCCGCGTTGGGCTCTCTGCTCAGCGGGGAGCCTGCTTCCTCCTCTCTCTCTCTGCCTGCCTCTCTTTCTACCTGTGATCTCTCTCTGTCAAATAAATAAATAAAATCTTTAAAAAAAGTTAAGTTATTTTAATTCCAGTATAGTTAACATACAGTGTTACATTAGTTTCAGGCGTACAGTATAGTGATTCAAGATTTTATACATCGGTACTTAGTTCTCATCATGAGTACACTCTTAATCCCCTTCACCTATTTTACCCATACCCTCACCAACCTCCCATACGATACTTTATTTTAAACAAGTACCCTCAGTTAAAATTATTTTTTAGAGTTTGAGATGGGGGTGGGAAGGAGGAAGAGGGAGAAGTAGCCTCTGCTGAGCAGGGAGCCCATCATGGGGCTCGATACCAGGACCCCAAGATCATGACCTGAGCTGAAGGCAGGTGCTCAACCATCTGAGCCACCCAGGCACCCCTAAAGTTATTTTTTAACAAGGACATTTTTTACTTGAACCATACTTCAGGAGACATGGTTCTAAAAGACATATAAAATAATTCCATCCAAGAAAAATAGAATACACATCTTCTTCAAGTACACACAAAAGAATCCTCTGGTTAAATCACATAAACAGGTAAAGAGAGACATAACAAATATTACAAATTTAAGAAAACAAAAATCCTACCAAGTAGGTTTTCCAGCCACAATAGTATAAAATTAAAGATCAACAATAAAACAAAGGGGGAAAATCTACAATGTAAATATTAAGTATTTAATATGTAAATATTAAACACTACTGCACAAACAATGGGCCAAATCAGAACTCAAACAGCAAATCAAAATGTCTCAAAACAAAAGAAACCATATTCTAAAACCTATGGGATGCAGCAAAAACAGATCTTAAGGTGAAATTTGTGATAAAATGCTTGTATTAAGTTGTTTGAACTTTTTTTAAAAAAAGATTTTATTTGAGAGAGAGAGAGAGAGAGCGCATGAGCACAAGAAGGGGGAGGGGCAGAGGGAGAAGAAGCAGACTCCCTGCTAAGGAAGGAGCCCGATTCGAGACCCAATCCCACACAGCCTAAGCCAAAAGCAGATGCTAAGCCCACTGAGCCACCCAGGCACCCTTGAGCTTTTTTCCTAACATTACAGCACAAGGAACTAGAAAAAGAAGAAACACAGATGAAATTTAGTAGAGGAAGAAAATAATAAAGAAAAATCAGAAATAGAGACCAGAATAAGCAATAACATAACATTGAAAGTAATGACCTGTTTTTCCAAAAATAAATTGGCAATATTTTAACTACATTAAGGGGAAAAAAAAAAAAAGATTCAAAAAGCAAAATGAGAAATGGGAGAGAAAACAATACAACAGATAAGCCAGAAATCCACAGTGCAATTGGATTACTATAAACAATTACATAGTAATAGATCAGATAATTTAGGGAAAAAAAACCAGATAATCCCTAAAAATGCACAAGTTATCAAGATTGCCTCATGGATCTTGAATCCAAGATGTAGGAAATCTTCTTAGACCAATAGTAAGAGTGAAAGTTGAATTAGGAATAAAAAATTTCCCAGCACAGAAAAGCCCAAGACCATGTGGTTTCATTGGTGCATTCTACCATTAAAAAATCAACAACAACAACAAAAACAAGACCATCTTCATCAAAATCTTACAAATAACGGAATAGAGGGAACACATTCAAAATTACTCCCTGTTTATCCTGCTTTGCCTTCCAGTGAATCATCTCCCACTGTGTGTCCCAGGTTTCCACACTGTCTGCCACGTTGTTTGCTTGTCTGCTCTCCTGGAGCAGGGCAGTGCCCTCAGGCTCTATCCCAGTCAAGCCAGTTGACCTTTAAACCACCAGGCTTTAAGCCCTGATGGTTTGGAGAATTCATGGAATTCAGCCCCTATTGTTTTCCAGGCAAATGGCTTTGGGGAAACACCCTCCTTGTGCATTCCCGGATATTTCTCTGTCTCTGTCTCTGTCTCTCTCTCCATCTCCGTCTCTTCCCACCCCCAACCCCCTTCTCTGTGACTATGGCTCCTTCTCTGCAGTACTCATGATTCATTTCTCTCCTAAACTATGTCTCCACATCCTTACCTTCCTTGATGTGGCCTCTTCTCTCCCTTTAGTGGTGGAATTTGTAATGTTAGTCTTCAGGTCTATTTCTAGGATCAAATCTAAGGATGACTTGATAGTTATCTACATGTGTTTGTGGGAGGAGACAAGCCTAGGGCTGTCCTACTCTGTTGACATCTTGTTATTCCTTTTTTCATCTTCTTTTCCCCTTCCCACCTTTTCTCTGTATTGTGAATATAGACCAACAGTTACTACTTCCATAACAAAAATTAAACTTAAAAAAACAAAGGTAGGCACTAACTAAGCTATATTCTTCATATAATAGGTCCCTATCTATCATCTTCATGATCTTAAGTAATTGTGAGTAAGGTCGATTGTTTTATTTCTAACTTAAAGAATATTTCTGGGTCTTGAAAACTTGTGTTTTATTTTTAACTACTCTGCAGGCTCTAAAATGAAGAAAGCAAGAACTCACAGTAGTGAATGCTTTGAAGACAATGAAATTTGAATTTTAAAATTTATCCCTTTTGAGAAGGAAATGAAAAGACCTCCCCCTTTAAAAAAGATTAATCCATGAGAAGCTACATAAAGGGAGCCCACTCCTCATGGGGAAAAAATGTATGCTGTATTGCTTGTATCATTTGTATCACTTGCTACAATGAGAAATGCAGGTACTTTGAAGGGGATGGGTGGAAAATTATCCAAGACTTTGAAAGTAATAAAAGAAATCATCGTCTGGGGAAAAAAGAAAAAAAAAAGATGTACTAGACATGATTCACAGATTTATTGTAGTCATTTGGAAGCATTAAAACAGACCAAATGTGTGGAGAAATTATTTCTGATTGCATACTGAAATTTTAAAGGCACTCAGATGGCTAAGGTTTGTGTTCCATGTAGAAACTGACTTTGAATGCTAGGTCTGGGAATTGGATAGGAAAAGGAGGAGATTCACATTTTGAGCAAGCTTGAGTGGCAGAAAGGTGGGAGAAACTTAGAAGCAGAGGGGAAAAAAATCTAAGATTAAAGTGAGCATTGGCCTGGGTAGCATGGTAAAATATAGATGGAATGCAAAAAGATCTGTCTGAGAATAGAAAGGGCTCACAAAGCATTCATTACAATTTAGGTGAAGCCTAAGTGGTTATTTTCTAAAACTAAAAGAATACTTATAGAGTACTGAAGCAAGAGGCAGGCATAGGTATTTAATGAGGAAAAAAAAATCACTTAAGATGTTAGTTCTGTTTTCTATTTTGGTTTGTTCACTAAGAACCTTGGAAGTCACATAGTCTGACTAACGTGGTCAATGGCATTTTATCTATAAATCTTAGTGTTTGTCTGTATGGATATACATAAAATACCCTTCTAGTTTAAATAAGTATAAAATAAATTTATAAACAAATGAGTGCACTGAAGTTCCAAATCTTCACTACTTTTTTTTAATAGAAGCCTAGAAAAGGAGAGTTGAAATGGAAGTTCGAAGTTATTATCCCATTCAGTGAAGTGTCTCTGTACCACTTCCAAAAGTTAGTCAATCTGGCATCTGCTTGAATTAAGATATAGCATGTATATGTTATCAACTCATTTACCATTTTAGTAATTCTATCAAAAATGAAAGCAAGGTTAATTGAGCATGAATTAGTCTTAGAGAATTTAATAGCTTTCTAGAATTTTTTAGGAGGGGTACTAATATTATACTTAATCATAATTTTTAAAATCTTCTGTTAGATACTAAGCTTCTTCATAACTTTTAATTCTGTGATTTAGCAGTGACTAAACAATGGCAACTCTGACATCAAATCCTTTTTATCTCCAGTTGCAACTCCAGGTATGCCCTACTCTGATCCTCTGTCACATTACTGCCAGCATAGTTTTTCTTTCTCTCTCTTTCTTTCTTTCTTTCTTTCTTTCTTTCTTTCTTTCTTTCTTTCTTTCTTTCTCTCTTTCTCTCTTTCTCTCTTTCTCTCTTTCTTTTTTTTTCAGAATAGTTTTTCTTAAAAGTCTTTCTGGATGTTTCCTGCTAACTGTCATTTAGTGATTCCTCACTGGCTTCAAAAGAAAAATTCAAATTCCATTCCATGGCATATAATGATATCCCATAATCTGAATATTTCTGTATCTAGATATTTTAGTTTCTATTGCTGTAAGAATGCTGCAATAACGACCCCAAAATCCAGTGACTTAAAACAACAAATATGTATTCTCTACTAGTCTA